GGTGGGGACAGTGGGGACAGTGGTGGGAACAGTGGGACAGCTCAGTGGGACAGCGGAGGAGTCAGTGGGACAGTGGGGACAGTGGGGATAGTCGGGCAGTGGTTGGGGCCGTGGAGAAAGTGGGGAGAGTGGAACCGTGGTGGGAACAGTGGTGGGGACAGTGGGGACAGTGCGACAGTGGTGGGGGCACTGGTGGGGACAGTAGGGACGGTGGTGGAACCAGTGGGGACAGCGGTGGTGAGGACAGTGGTGCTGGGAACAACAGTGGGGGATGTGGCGCGGACGGTGGTAGGGACCGGGAGTCGTTTGCTGGCGGTGAGTGGGGGGGGGGGGAGGAGTTCGAACCGGTAGTGACTCCCCCTCCGGTTTTCAGGGGGGGGGTTCGAAGCGGTAGTGACCCCCTCCCGGTTTTCTAGGGGGGGAGGGGGGGGGAGAGGTTAGGGGAGGGGGGGGGGGTTGCTGGGGGATTGGAGGGGGGAGGGGTTCCAGCAGGAGGGGGGATTTTCGGAGGGGGGGGGGACCCCCGGGCTCCGGAGGAAGAGGGGGGCAATTTTCCAGAGTAAAGTGGCGGTGGATCACGCTCTCTCACATATGTGTATATATGTATATATGTATATATATATATATATGTATATATATATATATATGTACCGCATCGACCACCCTTCGGGTGATAAGGAGGCGAGGGGGGGGGCACCGTCGCACTCGATCGATCTCATTATCGATCTCGCTATCGATCTCATTCTCGATCTCATTCGATCAATCTCACAATCGATCTGGCTATCGATCTCACACTCGATCTCACTAACGATCTCACTATCGATATCACAATCGATTTCACAATAGATCTCACAATCGATCTGGCGATCGATCTCACGATCGATCTCACATTCGGTCTCACGATCGATCTCACTACCGATATCAGTATCGATCTCATTCGATCGATCTCGCAATCGATCTCACAATCGATCTCACATTCGGTCTCACTATCGATATCACTATCGATATCACAATCGATCTCACAATCGATCCCACAATCGATCTGACTATCGATCTCACTATCGAACTCGCTATCGAAGTCATGATCGACCTATCGTTCGATCTCACTATCGATCTCACTATCGATATCACAAGCAATATCACAATCGATCTCACATTCGGTATCACGATCAATCTCACTATCGAACTCACTATCGATCTCACAATCGATCTCACATTGGGTCTCACTATTGACCTCACTATCGGTATCACAATCGATCTTACAATCGATCTCACATTCGGTTTGACTACCGAACTCACCATCATCACCCCCATCATCATCACCATCATCATCATCGTTGTCAACATCATGATCATCGTCATCATCATCATCATCATCATCATCATCATCATCATCATCATCATCATCATCATCATCACCGACGGGACACCGACGGGACACCGGCGGGACACCGCGGGGCCCCGGCCGCCCGGAAGGGAGACATTTGGTCCGGCCGCGCCTCAGCCACACGGGACACCAGCGGGACACCGGCGGGACACCGCGGGGCCCCCGGCCGCCCGGAAGGGAGACATTTGGTCCGGCCGCGCCTCAGCCACAGGAGACTTTCTTCTCGCCCGCCCACGCAGCTTCGCCTCGCCCGCACGCACGGCACGCACGAACACGAAACCGAAATCGATTTCCCGGTAGGGGGGCTCTCCGTTCCACTTCGATCTCACCCCCTCACCTCCGATACACATGTATGTATTTTTATTGTGCTTATAAACGTATTTACGTGTGCGTACACACGTGCATGCAGACTTGCGCGTACGCAGTATCGGCGCGAGGACCCCAAAGAGCTCCGAGGGGCAAGCACGCCAACTACTGCCAGGGCCCCGCGGGCGGGCCCCGTGGGCGGGCGGGGACCCTGCCGGCAACCACCGCACACTCCACTCCAGGCGAACGCAGAGGCAGGCGAGGCCGGGCTCGTGCGGGTGCGCCCCTGCAGGCAGCCGGCGCAGCCCTGGCACGCAGGGGCAGCCACGGCCAGAGCCTGCGTCCAGCACGCAGGGGTCCTCCTCCTCCTCCTCCTCCTCCTCCTCCTCCTCCTCCTCCTCCTCCTCCTCCTCCTCCTCCTCCTCCTCCCCTCCCCTCCCTTTCCTCCTGCTCCTCCTCCTCCTCCCCCTCCTTCTCTATCCTCCTCCTCCTCCTCCTCCTCCTCCTCCCTTTCCTCCCTTTCCTCCTGCTCCTCCTCGTCCTCCTCCTCCTCCTCCTCCTTCTCCTCCTCCGTAGCCATTGTGGCGCAAGCGGATGCTGCTGTATTGCCCCCGTTTTGCTTTGCTCTTTTCTTTTGATGTCCGCGCCGATGGATACTCGCGAAGTGGTTTCTGCTCTTCGCACACGGCTGTTGCGGGGACTGGCGAGCACCCATGGGATGCATTTCCAAGGTTTGTCCGCGGCGGCTCGTGCATCGCCTGGCCTGTCGCCCAAAGTACGTAATAAGATGATCAAGATCGATTTTGCATACCATTTGTGCGAGCATATCACACAACAGAGTATTGCAGATTTCATCGTGGAAGCTTTTGGTGCTGAGCAGTCTTCGGAGCCTGATCTTCACATTGTGCCGTCTTTGGTGGTTCCGCGGTTTCGCCCTCGCCCGCCAACTGCTGATCTGGATCCGACGGCCTTTGATTTTGTGCCTCATTTGCCGTCTTGGGATGACAGCGCCCATGCCTCTGTTCAGCCGGCTTCGTATCAAGCCCCTTGGTCTGTCCCAGTTGCTTTGGCGTCTGCTCAAACGGCGTATGACTCACAGCTTCTCGATTATTCGAACCTGGCCGCCGATCATAATCACACGATTGCCAAGCTCCAAGGGGCGCTGGACAAACTTGCAGACGCGCCTCACGCTACAGTGTCCTCTGGAGAATTTGCTGCTGCTTCTGAGATTGTGGTACCGCGCGGTACTGGGGATGCGAGCGCCGAGGGCTGCCCCTCTGCAACCACCTCCGCTTCAGACGCTGTGTGGGACGAGATCGACGCCGTCAGAGATGAGATCGCAGGAGTCAAAGCTCAGCTCGATGACTTTGCTAGCCGCTTTAACGACAGGCTTAACGAGAAGGTCACGGAGTTCACCGAGGGTGTTGTCGATATTGTGCAGGACGCCGTCCGCGCAGCGATCAAAGCACAGAATGGTCCTATCCTCGCCACCTTGGACATGCTAACGACGCAGCTCGCCGACCCGCTCAAGCAGACCGAGGTGCTTCAGTCCCAGGTCGCGGATCTGTACGCTTTGATCAACGGCGCTGGCCGCAGGGAGCCCTCTGTTGCTGGCCCTCTGCCTCCTGATGATGGCGCTGCTGCTCGGGTGTGCAAATATGGACGGCGCTGCCACCGCTTGGACTGCGTCTTTCACCACCCCGAGGGCCGCCTCCACGAGACCGTCAGTCCGGCCTCCGTCCCGCGCGCGCGGAGCGTGCCACGTGCTGCAGATGACGCAGCCCCTCGGCATCCTAGCGGTGGCCCCACCAAGATTGAGCCACCTACATCGCCTGTCGACTACGGCCGCTTCGACGATATCGTGCTGGAGGACGCCATGGAAGAGTTCCTCACCTTGCGTGGCCCCTCGCCTGCTGAGTGGCCTGGCGGGCCCACGCTGTCTGGCTTGCCTCCTGAACCAGATGTTGACTAAGGATAAGGATTGGGTTCTCTTGCTTATCGTGGAGCGCCTACCGCTCTTCGTGGTCTCTGCCGTCGGCGGCTTCTGGGTGCAGTCGTGCGCCATCTCTGTCGCCGCCGACGCGGGGGAGTTCCCGTGTAAGACGTTCATTCTTAAGGCTTCCGCCTCCACTTACCCATCCCCTCGGATCGCGGATCTTCTGTGTGTTCGGGAGTTGTGGGATTATGAGACTCTTTTCTTACGCTCGTCTCCTCCTCCTCCTCCTCCTCCTCCTCCTCCTCCTCCTCCTCCTCCTCTTCCTCTTCGCCAATGCTCGAATTCTTGAGGGCCCGACCTCCCTCCTGGACGGGGCACTACTGGCAGCCCGCAGCGCCCGCACCCGGGGGCCAACAAGGCCGGGGCCCCGTGGGCGGAGCCCTGTGTACCACCACCGGCCCCAGGGGCAGTCCGGGCCAGCGGGTCGCTACAGGCGGGTTGCCCCGTGGGCAGCCGCCAGCCCTGGCACACACAGGCCAGCCACAACTGGGGGAGCTGTGGTCCTTACCCCCTCTGCGGGACCCATCGATTTCGACACCCCTCTCGAGAGATCGTGGATGCGATGGGTTCCCCCAAAGGGGTATGGACCACAGCTCCCCCATTTATCGCTGGTCGGACACAGGGGCAGCTGAAGGCCTCCACCGCGTGGGCGGGCCCCTACGGGCAGCCACCAGCCTGGGCACACGGGGCCAGTTCTGTCTGAGCCAGGCGTGCGCCACGTCGTGCAACCGCTGTGCGGGGCGCCGTGCTTGCTTGAGCGATGTATGTGCGCGCGCTCGTGCGTGCGAGCGTGCGCGTGCCGCACCTCGGGATTGTGCGTTGGTTCATGCGCGCATGTACCGGTACCATTTTTTATACATGCTCCGCGCGCGGATCATGTATTAAACATGCAGGGAGTTAGTGTTAAAAACAACGATGAGTTCATGTATACCTGTAGTCATACATTAATCATATATTAGAATCATTTTCTAAAAAAGAAAAACCCTATGAATTAAAAACTGCCCTGTACTGGTGCGCCTTTACATCTGTGCACGTGTCCGCGTGCGGGTGCAGGGACATGCTGCAACGCGAGACCGCGCGGACGTGCACACCGACACCCGCATGCCCGAGCCGTCCCGGCTTTGAGGCGCATTCCAGCATGCGCGATCCGCCTCTGGCTGCAGTGTGCGCGCTCGTGCCTGGGCCTCGGCACTGCACCGCGCAGAGCGGGGTGGACCGTCCCTCCTCTTCGGCTGCCCGCGTCTGCCTCCCCCCCTCCTCTTCCCCCCCCAACAGACGCACGAATGAAACATGCCCGAGCCGCCCCGACGTCAGCTGGGCGCCCCTGCCACCCGAACACATCCGTCGGCTAGACGTAAGAGTGACCTTTCGACGGAGTGACCTTTGGTGCGGGCACAGACGAGCCCCTCCGATGGCTGAAACGAAGCGGTAGCAGCGGCTTGCGCGCCCAGGTTTGGTCCCCCCGCGGCCCCCAAAAAGCCGCGCACCAAAGGCCACTCTTACCCGGGGTCATTCTTGCGTGTAGCCGAATCCGTGAGCGCGCCCTCCCGTCTGGGGCAGCCGGCGCCGCTCGGCTGGCGCGATGGCGCGCGGGGCGCGGCGCTCGCCCGCGGCCCTCCGGGTGCTGGGGGCCGCGCTCGCGGCTCGAAGAACAGAAAGCGGCGACGGCACAGGTTTTTTTCGGGGAATCGCAAGACTCAAGTCGGGCCTGTCCCTCTACAGGGGGAGTGCTCAAAAATAGTAAAAATAGTCTTGGGGAGTATTTTTGGACCATTTCTAAATATTCTAGGGTATTTTTCATGTATCTTTAATTTTTCGCCCAAAATCGGCCTGGAAGGGGACAGGCCCGCCTTAACGCAAGACTCGAGTACACTGGAACTCGGGTTCGCCGACGCCTTTTGGCGAGCGCGTCCCAGGTGTTGGCGGTCCAGGTTGCGTGGGTTGTCTGCCGCGGGAGCTCGCGTCAGATTTCAGACTGGGTCTCGTCATCTTCATGATGGCCCCGTCAGATCATGGGAGCCTTGTGTTTCGAGGCGGGCATTTATACATGACCACGGCCTGGATGGCCGATCTTCGCGGATCTCCACAGGCGGTGGATCTGGATACATTTTGGCCTCCAGGGGTCAAGATTTATCCATATCCACCGCCCGCTGGATCCCAAGGACGTCGGTTCCCAGGCGGTGGATATGGATGAATCCCCGCCTCGCATGCGCGTGTCCTCTCAATTTCGTCTTTAGAGTGCACCGGCGTGCGTTAGCGTTTGGGAATCGGTGGGGAGGCGCCGTTTTGTCGTCGATGTAGCGTCGAGTTAGCGTCTAGTCGCGTCGATTAGCGTCGATCTAGCGGTTATCAGCGCCGATGCGCAAGAGCCAGCGTGATGGCAGGGCAGGCCAGCATGGGTCGGGACAGACATAACGCTTCGAAGTTCCGCGCGGATTTCCTAGATCTGCGCTCGTCGGCCGCGTTAGGCATCTTGCCTCTCGTTCTTCTCTCTTTCTCTCTCCCTCTCTCTCTCTCTCTCTTTCCTTCGTTATCTCCCTCTCTCTCCTCCGCTCCTTTTTCGGCCTGTTCTGGGAGTCCCCCACCCCATGAGTTGAGAAGCTGGCAATTTTCATCATCGGGTCTGCACGCGGAGAACAAAGGATGTCTCGGGTCCGCGCCGGGGGCCCCTCCCACGGCGCGCGGAACGCGCCATGAGGTGGCGCTAGAGGCGCCCCCCCCCAGGGGGCCTCAGCGCCGATCCAGGAAATCCTTGCGGAGCTCCGAGGTCGTCTTCTTCGATCGTCGGCTTCGATCGTCTTCCCCAGCTCCAGGACCCAGGATGTCCAAGAGCTCCTTGTGCTTACGCAGCTCTTTCTTCTTCGATCGTCGGCCCCCAGCTGTGCGGCGCTGACCGCCGCGGCGGCGTCGGGGGCGCAGGCGCCATCCCGGTCGCCCGCGAGGCCTGCGGGGGCCAGGATCGTGTCGGCGCTCGTCTTCGACCCGGGCGAGTGCCGCCTGTGCGCCTTCAACGGCCCCGCTGCGCCCCGTCTGTTCATCGACGGGCGGGAGGACTCAGCATTCGGCGGTTCAAAGATGGGGTCCTGAGGGAGGGGAGCCTAAAGGATAGGCACGGATCTGGGGAGGGGGATTTACGCTGTTTGAGGCACCTCTTCCTCAGGACCCCATCCCTCAGCACCCCACCTCTGAACCACCGCAGAGGAGGGACATATGCTGATGCCGCTACCCTTCCCTCGGCGCCTTCGGCAGCAGATCATGGGAGCCTTGCGCATCCTCGCTGTTCTGACTTTAGAGTGGACTGGCGTGCGCTAGCGTCTGGCAATCGATGGGGAAGCGCCGATGTAGCGTCGACTCGCGTCGATTTGGCGTCGACTGGCGTCGGTGAGCGCCGGTTCGCAAGAGCCAGCAAGATGGCATAGGAGGCTTCCGTGAGTTGCCGCAGGCGTCACGGCTGGATTCGCCCCGATATTCTAGTCAGAACGCACCCTGGGAAAGGTCTGGGGAGTAGCGGTATCGGCACTCTTCTTCGGGTATAGCCAGGACCCCGGGTAAGGGGACCTGGTTAGTGGTAGGGCCCTGGGGCCCCTCAATTGGCCAGATTCACTAAACCAGGTCTGCCGTAACTGGTGTTTTTTCGGGTGACGGCAGTTCCGGTTAGTGGAATGGAAATGGGACAGGGGGGCGCCCCCGGTACAAAGTATTAAACCAGGTTCCACTAAACCCAGTTCTGCCAACGCCCGACATCTGTTCCCTCCACGATCGGTCCGTTTCGATGTCCATCTCGGCCAGCTCAATCCGCCTCGACTCCCTGGCAGCATGGCGATCGGGTGCGGCCTGGCGCTTGGCACGGCGCTGCTGTGCATCCTGGCCCTTCCAGCCCGATCCGATCTCGCATCCGTGCCGATCTGGCGCGCGTTCCGATCCATGCAGGTCGGACGTTGCAAAGAAAAGTTCAAGGATGGCAAAGCATCACCATCACCACCGTGCCCAACCTTCCTGCACCACTCTTCGAGCCAGATCGATCTCCGAGGGTCCTGGGGGCCCGGAGCCGGGCGGAGACGCCCGATGTGGCAAAATAGCATAGCGCCAGGATTCCAGGGCGGGGGAACCCAAAACGTACCCAGACCGCTGCTCCCCCGACCTCTCCTGGGGTGCGTTCTGACCAGGACCTCGAGGCGAATCCAGCGGTGGCGACGAGGGCCGCCCAGGATGCCCAACAAGGGGGAGACGGAGAAGGGTAGCAGTATCGGTACCTATTTCTTTCAGGAGGGGAAAAAACACAGACACAATGAACCGTCGATTCCCCGAAAAATGCGGAAAAATATGGGAAGTGGGCGGGAAGATACGAACCCAGAAAATATTGGAAAATATGGGGAATCTGGTTATTTGTGCCTATTTATGTGTGTGTGTGTGTCCCAGGGCCCCTTCATTCTCCCCGGAGATCCGAGGACGGCCTCGGCAGCAACTTCGAGGGGATCCTCTCCGGGATGGCCATCGCGAGGAAGGCCGGCATGAGCTTCGGGGGCGTGGTGGGAGGCGGCCGCGTGTGCCACGGGCAGGAGGTGGGCAGGCTCGTCTCGGAGCTCTTCGGCGTGCAGCGGGAGCACCTGTACCAGGAGACCGTTCCGCTCTAACGATAGCGACGATAACAGCGATCACAGCGATCACAACGAGCACAACGATCACAACGAGAACGATCACAACGATCGCAACGATTACAACGATCACCTGCACCAGGAGACCAGTCCGCCCCGCCCCTCCTCTCGGCTAGACGTAAGAGTGGCCTTTTGCCAGAGTGACCTGTGGTGCGGGCCCAATGGGATCACCCGATCGCTGAACGCGAAGCGGCAGCAGCGGCTTGCGCACCCAGGTTTGGCCACCCCGCGTCCCCCGCTTCGCCGCGCACTAGCGGTCACTCTTGCATTAGGGTCACTTTTGCGTGCAGCCGATCCTCCTCCATCCCTTTGCCCACTCGATGCCGGACGCAATAGCGTCCGCGCTCAGCGCAGCCCGTTCCTTCAGTTGGCGCTAGTCGTCTTCTGTGTCGCTCGCCCAACCGCCAGATCATCTCGGCTGAGTCGGGCGCTTCGGAGACACGCGTCGCCCCCCCAGGGTACGGATACTGCTCCTCACCCATCCCTCTTTGTGATCAACAGATCCTCCCTGTCGCACCCCCAGACGTGTGGGTAGGGCAGGTGGGGCGTTTCGCTTGAGACGTCTTCATCATTCATGATATTGCCGCTTGATATTTGCAACAGTTTCACGGATGGAGGGCGGGTCTGATTCAAAATGTGGTTCCCGCCTCAGAGACGCGTGTATTCGTCTTGCAAATGTGCAGCAGTTTCAAGGATGGAAGTCAGTTGGTTTTCAAAATGTCGGTATCGCCTCAGCGCCGCGCATATTCGTGTTCAATGTTTGCAGCAGTTCCAGGGATAGAGGGGGGCTGTGTCCAAAATGTGGCTCTCGCCTTAGCGCCGTGCGCATTCGGATTACAAGGTCGCAGCAGTTCAACAATGGAGGGCGGGCCCATTACAAAATGTGGTTCTCGCCTTAGCTCCGCGCACATTCGTTTTAAACTGTTTGTATCAGCTTGAAAGGTGGAGGGCAGGTTTTTTTTGAAATGTGGTTGGGGGTAGAGCCGATTACCGTTGTTGACGGCCTCGAGGGAGTACCTCGGCGACCGTTTTTAGGGAGCGGTCCCTCCCGGCAGCACAGAAGCACTGCACCACAACACATGCAATTCCAAATTCACGTCTCACACGTTTGCGATAGTTTCAAATATGAAGGGCGGCTTCTTTCCAAAATGTGGCTCTCGCCCGCAGCGCCGAGCAATTCGTTTTTCAACGTTTGCATCAGCTTGAAGGGTGGAGGGCATTTGTTCAGAGAAAATATGACTCTCGTCTGAGCGCCGCGCACATTCGCCTTGAACCATTGCGACAGTTTCACATTTGAAATGCGGCTTCTTTTCAAAATGTGTCTCGCCTCAGCGCCGCGCACACTCATGGTTGAAGTCCCTGGAATGGTGTTCTTGCGCGGATTAGGATAGTCAGGTCGCAACAGTCTTGTTGATCCGCAGCGTTGCAGTCCCAGGAATTGTGTTTGGGTACGGTTGAGCTCTCACATGGTTGTCTTCTCAGGGGTCACTTCCCGCAATGTTTTTTGTAGGGACCTATCAAGAGGGAACTAGGAGGGGGGGTATTGAAACATCGTTGATGCGACTTGGGCGTACACTGGTCCTCCTTCTCCTTTTCCCCTCCTCCTCCTCCTACTCTTCAGGGGGGCGCGATTCTCTGACACAGTATTTCTGTTACTGCTCGCCTATGTATATGCTTGCCCGTAGACGGTTGGACTATGATTTTCCAGCGCCCCCCTTTGTGAACCCCTTACTCGCTCTTGACCTGATCAACCCCAACCCCAAACTTTTAATACAACCGTTCCATGTCCATGCGAATTGTCAGGCCCGCCAAGAGAGTAAGGCCTATTCGATCCATTCGATCCTGTCCAGTTCGGCAGACTCGACCTCGTTAGCCCGTGCTGCCCTGCAGGCTGTCGAATTGCCCCTCGGCGGTACTTGTCGATGGCGGCAGCGTCGGCATTGACGAGGTGGTGACATGGCCCCCCCTGTGACGCTCCAGCCTCCTCGTCTTTCTCCCGTTTCCTCCGTACGGAGACCGCCGGGGCAATGATTGCCACGGCTGGTCTGTTGCTCCCCCCGTCCTGCCCGAGTCTGGGGCTACTGCAGGTCTCTGCCGCCAACGACAAGCTCCGCGCACGGCGCTCCGCGGCCTCCGTGGACCGAACATCGGCCTCGCTGCCGGGACACGCTTGGTACACGGTCTTGGCGCCATCCTTACCCTTGGCTTCCCAAAGTAGCGCTGAGCAGGAATTGCCCGAGACGTACCCATCCACTTCTCTTCGCGAGGCGGCAATTCATATGGACGTCCCATACACAATACGTAACATATTGAGACAGTTGCGCAGTTCGCACCCACCCCAAGAGGACGCACAAGATGCAGGAGAACGCGCAGGATGCAGGGGGAGGAGGAGGGAGGATGAGGAGGAAGACGCGCGAGCAACGCTCTACCTAAAACGAGAACCCAGCACAGGAGGGTTGAGAAAAAAGCGTGTACCAGGAGGCCATCCCCATGCTGGCCTTGAGGGTTATGGGCTTGGGCGACCTCGAAGAGTCGCGGCGGCCCGGCCAGAACGCGAGCGGTGACGTGTGGCTGCGGGCCAACCTGCCCCTGAGCGGCCCGGGCGCGGGCCACATCGGCGAGTTCTTGGACCACGAGTTTTTAGAGGCCCTGCGGGCGGATATGCTGCCGCGGCTGGCAGAGAGGAGCCCCATCGCAGCGATCCGCCGCGGGCATGGCCCCGTGGTGGCCATGCACGTGCGGCGGGGCGACGTGTCGCAGTCTGTCAATTGGGGCCGCTACACCAAGAACGAGTTCTACTACGACCTGGCGGACCGCATCCGCGCCCAGCTGCCAGGGACGGAGGTGCACGCGTGGAGCGAAACGTCGGGCAGCTCGGCGCCCGAGGACTTCGACGGCTTCCGCGACCGAAACATCACGGTCCACCTGGACACGGACATCGTCGAGACGTGGTCGCACATGGCGCAAGCGCAGGTGCTCGTGATGGCTAAGAGCAGCTTCAGCTTCACCTCCGCCGTCCTGAACCGCGGTTGCGTCGTGTACCAGACCTATCTCACCTCGCCCCTCCAGAGCTTCACCGCAACGATGCCGCCGTGCACGCCCGAGGCGTTGACGAAGCGTCCGCTCCAGTGCTCGCCCGACCAGACGATGCCCGTTGTCGACCAGCAGAAGCTGTCGGCCTGTCTGGCCAGGCCGGGGGCTCACGCCCCCTGAGGCCCCGGCCAGCGCGCGCACAGAGGTTGTAAAGGTTGCTGGCTGAAAACAATTAAATCAGTGGAACATACGGAATTCAGGAGGCCAAAGAGGTTGCCCACATTCTGAGATATGGTGTAGGTTTGTACATACGAAGAACGTATGCGGCCCAAGGATGCCCCATATGAGGAAATCAAGGGTTTGGGGGGAGGGAAGGCAACGCTGATTGCTAGGAGTAGCGCACCCGTGCGGTATCACTTGGGTTTGTTGTGTCTCGTGGGCCCTCAGCTTAGGTTTCCGTTGGGCCCTCACAGACCGACGTGCTAAGCCACAAATTATAGCCCCCCTCCTCCTCATCCTCCCTTTCTTCGGGGTGTCGTCGTCCTGTTGCTAATTATGGCTGTCATCCGTTATCTTTGTCTTACTCGATGTATTCGCCCACCGCCGCTCCCCCATAGCACGTCTTCCCACCGCCCTGCGTCAAGTTTGCTACTCTTCGGGTAAAGGTGGTCGGAGAGAGTGGCAGCGGGAGGAGGAGGAGGAGGAGGAGGAGGGGGCGGAGGGCTACGAGCGCGTGAAGACGGTTGGAGTCTTTGAGGTTCCCAGGAAACGGGGGGGGGACAAAGAAGAAACACGTGGTGATGCTGACGACTTAGAGAGAAGAGAGGACAAGCGAGAGGAGCACCAAGCCATGAAGCAACGCGACGCCCACCATTCAGGGACTTAAGAGTGACGCATGAGGAGCAGCAGTGAGCGCAGAAGAAATGATAATACAATAATACGAAGGATGAGTAAGAGGAAGAGGAGGGATAATATTGAGAGACAGGGGCGGGAAGGGAGAGGGAAAATTGGATGTTGTCACAACACAAGCGCGCCCAACAGGGTGCCATCGCAATGTGTTCAGGCACGTCCGCCAACCCCTCCTCTCGCGATCTGGGTTGCACGTATCCTGTAGCCTCGGGCCCCAATGCGGCAATGCGAAGCTGGAATTTGATCAATGTCTGAGCGTTCAGTGCCTGGAGTCCCCTGGAGTGCCCAAGGTTGCGCGTTATTTCCTATCGGTCCGATCGCCGACGCCGCCACCATTGCATCCTTCCTCCGCCACCAGTTCCGCCTCATGTTTGTCTGTCCCAACACCCAAATCGTCCCAGTTGGTTTGTAGAGGCTGTCCTTTTTCAGAATACCCAGACGGGCTCAAATTCGAATGCTTGATGTTCCTATCTGCAGCTCCTGCACTTTATCATCTTGCGTTGCATCGTGATCTGCGTAATCAGTTGGGCTCAAACTGTTTTGGCTTTTTTCGTGGCTGAGGCCTCCACCTGCATGTTTGCAGATTTCATCGCGGAGGCCCCTGCTGACGAGCAGGATGCAGCGGCGCCGCCAGCTGCTGTCGCTGCTGCCCCGCCGCCGCCGCCGATCGGCGATGGCCGAGGCCGCGGCCGAGGCGGCCGAGGGGCAAGGGGCAGGGGCGGCGGCAGGGCCAGAGGTCGCCGTGGCCGCGGGCGCGGCTTTCAACATAGTGCTGAGACGAAGGCGAAGATGAAGGCTGCGAGGTCTTCTCGCAAGGCCGATCGGGCCGTCCAGGCACTCACTCGTCGGATTCATGGGCACGCAGACCAGTTACTAGCGACGGTTGGCTCCCAGACGTGTTCTAAGCAGAGCTCCAGGCGCACCCTCCCGCACGTCCAGACACAGCGAGGCGAAGTTGTTGCAGTCGCTATCGATAAGGGGTCCACGCATGAAGCCGATTGGGACAGGATCATCGTGAGCCACGCCAGGGCCCAGGCAGACGGATTGCGCAGATGGTTTCAGGATGATGCTTCATTGTTTGTGCAGTTCACGAACACGTTCGACGATGCATCGATGTGGGTCGCGCAAGAGAACACGGAGAACAACACTGGTGACATTGCTGCAGCCATTGAGGATATGGACGAGCGTTTGAGGAAGAAACTAAACCGGCGAGCTCCCAAAGGTGGTATGAGGCACACCCCCGTGCTCAATGTGGTCTAGTTTGTTTTTAAAGTATGTGACGCTGGTGACCCTCCTAGCCATGGCTGTTCGGCAACGTCAATCACGAGCCCAGCCCAGCCGCTACCACAAGCGAACTACGCTACCGTGATGGACAGGTGGAGACGGTGGACGGTGGGCAACGACTCCATCAGATCAGGGTGCAGCGTCGGCCCCAACAACGCCCTCGCTGATGCTGGTGTCATGGATTCGCCGAAATGGAAGAATGTCACTGCTGTCAGGGATTGCTTACAGCTGAACTCCACCATCATATCAAAATGTGAAGATGCGTTTCGCGCCCGAAGGGCGGAACTTCAGGATGATGGCCGTTCGGACGGGGTTCCGACGATATTCCGTCTCAATTGTTGTGGCCACATGTGCGTTCTGGCATTGAAGCCGATTCTGTCATTTTACTTTGGTTTGAATGCTCATGTGGTTCGTTGCGGCCATGTTTGTCAGTCGTCGAGGTCCGAGTTTCGCCAGAACACACCACCCCCTGGACCCCTTCCCCATGCCTCGTCGGTCGATCGAAACCCTGTCAGCGTAGAACCCCGCCCCCATAATGGAGCCCATGGGCAGCTCCCAGTGCAAAGGTGGGGTCCTGAGGAGGGGGTCTCGGGGTGTTGGCTTGACTGGCTAATCCTCGCCAGGGCGTCGGACTTGTACGAAACTGCTCTTGGTAAGGAGGTCGACCAGTACTTTAGGTATCGCCCTGTTGTCGACTTGCCTGCTGAGCTTCCTGCTTGGAGGGCTCGTGCCAGGCGCGTGCTTGACATCACGGGCTTCGACATGGTGCAAGAGAGTAAGGATTTCATCTTGATGATGGACAGTGGGAACTGGGGCGCCAGCGACGGCAACATGGACATCATCCACTGGTGCCCCTACGACTGCACACGCGGCCGATCGAGGGAGTCGGCTCTCGTCAAGATGAGAGCCGCCATTAAGGTGTCGGTGGGGCCCAGCTGCCCACTTGCACTTGAGCACACATGGAAGCACATGGAGAAGGCGAACGCGTGGTGCTACAGAGGCCGATCACAACGCGATCTGATGGCGAGAGCGTTTCGCAGGGCATACCCGAGAAAATCCATCGAAGTTGCCGGGAAGGAGGTCGCCGACGCGGCCGCCATCGGCAACCCAGACATCCAGGCGAGTTCCGTCTCCAAGCAGGCCGTCAAGGTTGGCAAGATTATCTCCTACAACGAGAAGAACCCTGGTGGCATCGCACACCGAAAGGTTCTGGCTCTACAGGCGCCCACGCAGAACTTCCTCGACTACGCTATCACATGCGAGTCGGCCACGACGATATTCACGACTGCTGCCTGTGCCTTGCCCGGAACGATGTCGGGCGTTGCCGCTGATGCGCTGGCGGCTACACGTGCGAAGCAGAACGAAGCATGTCGCCTCAACTTGGCTGTTCTTTCTGGCGATAGGGGCCGCGAGATTCTGTCAGAGCAAGCTTCTGCTGTGGCGAACTTTGGCCACGCCATGTGGGCCGACATTGGCGCATCTCGGCAGGAACAGTTTGAGACGTGACTGAATCTGCTTAAGAGCATGGGCGTGGCATGGCGTCGCCTTGCGTTCTATTTCAATCAGCCGAAGTTCGAGATACTTCAGGTGTGTGGGGACTTGGTTGGAAATGAGCTTGCCATTGGTCGCATTGTCACGCCCATCCGCGAGAAGAGTGAGCAGTGTGAGAAGTGCGTGGGCGACTATACTAACATATGGTGTCGTCGCTTGCGCTTCCCAGAGACAATATGTCGGGCGCAGTCTGCGCTGCGAGTTCAGGTGGCCTCCACGCCCGTGCGCAGTGTCTCCGTGGAGAAGAAGCACCTTCTCGGCCAGGGGGTCAGGGCGCCCAAGAGCAGGGGCAGGGCGACGAGAGCTTCGCAGCCGATCAAGAGAACCTACCACAAGCTTGTCCTCAAGACGAATGTCCAGAAGACCACTGACGTGCACCGCAAGGTTCTGAGGACAGCATCGGGACGCAGAGCATTTGGGAGGCTTGCGGCGTCCATGGCTTTGCAGAGGCGCGGTGTCACCGATCGCCATCGAGAGGCGGCACGGTGCATGAGGCGTCACCGCAGAGGTCCGACTAAGGCGTCTGCTTGGGCTGTATACAAGCGCGTCAATTGGACCCCATGGGATCAACCCATGCAAGGACGCAGGCAGGGCTGAGAAAGCTCGGCTTCGGCGCATATTTCTTACCTTGGCGCCCGCTTCTCGTGAGCACTACCGCGCATTGGCAGAGGTTGATACGGCCGAGAAGGCGAGAGCTTTCGCGGACGCCCAGTCGGCAGATGCTCTCGGACGAGTTGGCGAGGCTGGGCGAGGCGCTGCTTCGCGCAGGACGATTCGGAAAGAGCAGTTCCAATCATTACTTGGTCGAATTCATGGTGATCCATCTTGGGGGGGCGGGGCCAAGCTCGACCTCCCCCGGCAGGCCTTGAGGCCTCAGTTGGTCGACGCCTCATCTTCGAGAGAATCTATATCCAGCGCTGCATCTAGGATCTTCCACTACAGCAAGGACCCAGATGCCTCAGACACCCTGCTGCATCAATCACGGGGGACTTTGCGAGACTAGGGATAACGTGGACATGATGAAAAATTCGGAATTTCCACGTCAAGCTGAAGCAGCGTCAATTGCCTGTCTTCGCGCGGCTCAGCGGGCCCAAGGACGAGTGCGCAGAGACTCACCTCGCCGTCGACAGATTCGGACAGGGTGAGTTGCAAGTGCTTTTTCAATTGAAGGCGTCGGGGCCCGACGCCTACGCGATTGAGGATTGTGGCGTAGGCCTGCCAATCATTGTTTTCACTGCGCATTTAGTGTTTCGACGTGTGTTGGAGCGTTCAGCTCGCCTTGCTCACTGCGCCGTTGCAGATTTGGATTGCATGCAGCTTCGTTTGTATGAATGTATAGATGCTGGAGTGGCTGTGTCGCCTGGTTTTTGCATTCGTCCAACCGGAGTAGAGGAGTTCGTTCTTTCGGCTGTCGTGAAGGAGCCTTTGCGTAGGAAAGCCAGAGGTGATGCCGAGGAG